GAGCTGCAGGCCTGGGTTGGCGAGATTTTTGCTCAAGCGTTCCTGAGCCGGGCAAGCTCAGGTACTCCCTCTGTCCCCCACCCCACGCTCCAGGATCCAGATGTATCAGCTCCGGTTTCCTGGCCAGCCCTCTGACCCACTTGCTGTATCATTCTCACCTAACAGATGAGCGGGGAGACCCGGGGACAGGGGCTTCTAAGATGCCATGCTCTCTCTAACTGCCTTCAAAGTGCCGGGTGCTGTCTCGTCTCTCCATCACCTCTACTCTCACTGAGCTCCCTGTATGCTCCTGCGCATGTCTTGAAGTCCCTGCACTCAGATCTCTTAGGCACAGAAGCTTCTGGGACTTTTCACACCTACCCTCTTGTGCTCCTGCCCTGCCAGGTGACCCCTCCCACCACCAACCTCCCTCCACTTTTGGGGGGTGTAAACCTCTTCCTAGATCCTGTAGCTGCCTGATTCCTCTTGGTTTCTTCCTGTTACCTCAGTACTCTGCCTCCCCTGCCCGGCTTCTGGCACTGCCTGAAGGGCTTCCACTGGCAGCAAACCCACTTCCTTCAAGGTGACTCCAAATCATGTTGAGTCTATAGGTAGCGGAGAACTGGCCCAGAGGTTTCCCCTTTAGGGAACTTCAAAACCAAACCCGCTGCCATCAGGTCCATTAGACTCGTAACAGTTACTCTTGATGAGAGTAGAAAGCCGCCTCTTTCTCCGGAGAGATGGTGGTTTCAAACTGAGGACCCTGCAGCCCAAAGTGTACCCCACGACAGGTAACCCATCAGGGTATACCACCAACCCGAGAGCTCCTTCATCCTTTAGGGAAGCTGACCACAAATCTCTATCCTGTAGCATGCCTGGTGGGTTTGAACTGCCAACCTCTAGTGGACAGGCAGGCATTTAACACTGGTGCCACTAGGACGCCTCTGAGAAGTCTCTAAGACTGACAGCACCCGTAGGGACCAGTTAGATGGCCTTCCCTTGACCGCAGTGCCAAGCAGACGCCCCAGCCCCCATCTCCTCTCTAATGTCTCCCTGAGCTCCAGGGAGGATGTAACCTTGTGGACCCTTCACTTCTTCTTGGGTTCCCTCCCGTTTCCTATCCCATGGGGGCCTTTGCCCTGGTTCCGTGTCTTCCCTGTCCCTCCCTAATGCAGTGAGTCTGTCTCTGGTGTCTTCAGACACAGGACGTCCCCAAATCCCCAAACCCTGTTCCCTGAAGGGCTTTCCGGCTGTCCCATTGTCACACGGAAGACCAGCACATAAAAACGACAAGTTGTTTCTTTACAGAAAGATGTCTGCCCTTGCTTCGCCTGGGCTCCACAGGGACATCCTGTTACTACTGTTCACGGCCCATTTCCCTCCTGCCTTTGTGTTCTGCATCCGTACAGCAAACCAAGAAAAACAAACATACTGTCATTGAGTTGCTTCCGACTCACAGTGACCCTAGGTC